TTTCATATGAGGTGTCTGCGTATGATTGCCAGTATCAGGTGGGAAGACAAAGTCCCAAGTACAACGGTTTTGGAAAAATGCGGACTAATGGGTGTAGAATCGCTTTTGGTTCATGCTCACTTTTGTTTGATAGTGCCTGTTATATGTATGCCAAACACAAGAATTCCTAAGCGGCGATAGTACATTTGTATGGATCTGTGGAACTTGTGCACTTAAATGTTCGTCAAGGATAGGACTTTTGCTCATTCTAGGACTCACCGCTGACCCAATTCATCGATTGGACGATGTACTCCATGTATGTATGTGTCTGTATGTGTTATATGTATATTTATATGTGTGTTGTATGTGTTGTTTATGTGTGTGTCTGTATGTGTTATACGTATATTAATATGTGTGTTGTATGTGTTGTTTATGTGTGTGTTTGTTATTGTTTGCGTGTTTTCGCTGGATGGATCTTGAAAGTTGTTCGTAAGCAAATAACACAAGCGTGCGAAGGAAGGCAAACGAACGAAGCAGATAATGAGAGTGAATTATTGTGGAGCGAGCGATGGAGGTACATAAATTAATAGTTTTTCGTAATGTGTGTAATGTTCCTGGCTCATCAGTGAATTTATTCTCGGAAGAATAAAGGGACATGTAATTTATGGCCTGTTAATAAGAGTAATAAGAAAAATGTATATTTCAATTTGAATAGAATAAAACAAATTTTTTCCAGTTTTATTGTTGTTAAAAAAATTATAGGTGAATTATATTTTATTTAATTAAATAAATACTATAATAAACTGTGAATAAAATTTATAAATAAAAATAAAAATTTATTTCTGCCATCAACAGTGCTTTTCTTGAGATTAACAGCAAGGACGCAAGAACAATAGAAAAGATGAAAACTTATATGAGAAATGAGATTAAATGTTAATCTGCTCAGAACTAAATTTTGTAACGCTTATAAGTTTGTACAATTTTTTTATTCTGAAAAGTCTTTAACTAGTTTCAAACATAAATCAATCACGACTTGGAATTTGAAAAATTCTTAGCAAACTAAAAGGTGCTCAAAACAATATTAAATTTTTTTGATAAAATTTTTTTGTATGAGCGTATTTTTCATGTCTTCCTCTATTTTGTATTTCTGTGTATATCTGTATTGTAGTAGTTTGTATTTATTTGTTTTGTATTTAAATGTTTTGTATTTCTGTTTACATTTGTATTACAAATATGTAGAAAAATTATTCCGACTCCTGTAAAACGTTCGACTACAATCGACTCTGACCGATTCAAATCGACTCCGATCAACTCCGACCGAGCCCTCCGACCAGGCTTCAATTCCACTTCCAGGTTAGTGATAATCATTAAACAAAATAATTTTGGCTTTGTTTTTAATTTGATATTTGTTTCGAAAAAGGAATTTATTTTTTTCAAGAGGTTTGATTTTTCCAGTTGAACGAGAGATTTTTAAAAAAAAAAAACTTTCAAGTGGCCGATCGATAAACACGCACGCAATAAAACATACAGACAGATAAGTACACACACACGCACACACGCACACGCACACACACACGCACACGCGCACACACACACACGCACACACACACTACCTAACGTTGTGTATGCTTGGTCACGTTCTGTATGAAATTATTTCCCATTGAAAAAATCCGCGAGAAAAATAAAAGCGAAGAATGAAGATGATGATTGTGCTGATGGTGATGATGATGATTGTGCTGATGGTGATGATGATTGTGCTGATGGTGATGATGATGATGATTGTGCTGATGGTGATGATGATTGTGTTGATGATGGTGATGATTGTGGTTGTGGTTATATAACAATGATGGTGATAAAAGTTAGGGTGATGATTAGGATGCGTCGTTGATGATAGTTGCCCACACACACACGCAGCATCTTAACAAGCAAAACAACGCACATGTAAATTTTTACTCATTTTTACTTCATAAATTTAATTAACTAACACAATCACATACATGAAAACATACATATACACAAAACATACATATACAAAGTCATACAGACATACATTACACATATACAACCATACATACAACCATACATACGAATGTACGTACAAACAAACATTACACGCATACCAACAAGATACATACCAACAAACACACACAAACAGAATATGGTGCAGGCAGAGATCATCGCCACTCAAAGCAGACATGTGATCAATATCATCGAAATGCGGACGAAAGTTCCACTCCATTCTTTCGCTTATTAGTTTATTTCTTCTTCAATTTCTTCATCCATATTTTGCATTTTGTTTCTTTTTCAATTGTTTTAACCAAAAAGTATTCACGAAATGTTTCGAAGATTATTTTTTAAACAAAGATGACAATTTTTTGCGTCAATATATCCACATTATCTTTTTACAAAATATAATTGCCATTCATTTAGAACCACAGGCAGTTTGACAAAATGTAAAATTAGTTGATTAAATTTTTAATATATGTGAACTTGAATAATGTGATGCTTACTATGACACATACGTTATTTCATAATTGAATGTAATGGCTCGCCAGACACAACCACACACATTCATTCCAAACAATGACACAATCACACATATCCCTTTTCAAATGGAGAATTGGAAAATCAGATAATGTTAAATCTAGCGATTTGTTTGCAAGAGAACTCGAATATCTAATCTTTAAATCGTATTAGTCAATGTATCGCAACATCGTGCCTCATTTGTTTGTTTTAATTAAAAAGATTTTAAGGAGGAATTTTTTTTTCATTCTTCAATTTTACCAGTTTTTCAAAATAAATGATAAAATTTTCAATCGTTTAAGGCTTTCCCTATAATTATTTATATCACAAATTAAAAGTTTTCAAACATGCCATAAGAAGCATACCTAAAGCATTTTTGTCATACAATCGAATCGAAACCGGTCACCGTACGCCGAAATTGCCTCCGTTGAAGGACCTCGAAAGACTTGCGGGTTAGGGTTAGGGCAATAAATACCTTTTGCATTCTGTGATTATGTGCTAGATAGTTAATTTAGTTTTGCATATGCCGTACATTGTGGAGAAATTTCCTGGAATATATATTGATGATTTTTTCATTTGATTTTGTTTTTATTTGATTCTTATTAAATTGTTGTCATCAAGTTTACATTTTTTTAGTTTCTACTAGGGCAATAAACTAAATAGCCTACTTATTCCATTACTAATCTATTTATACTGCTAACAACTTTTATTTATTCTATCTCATTCCATTTCATTCCACTGCTAATTTTTTATCGCAATGCAAGAAAGTTTCTATACAATTTTTATGAAATTGATCTGAACCATTTGTTAGAAAATAAATTTTTTTGAAATGATACTGGGCGTTGAGATGTTTTTGCGGAATAATTTTGAAACATTGACAGGAGAAGGCGTATATTAGACACTGAAATGATGATACTTTTGTGATTTTTATGGAATGAACTTTTTTTTATCCTCTGTGATCATTACAATATCACGTACACTTTGGAGGTTTTTATTTAAAAAAATTGAGATCGTTATTCAAAATAAATTAACAAAATAATCAATTATTTTGAAAAAATTCAATGAATTTTTAAAACATATAAGTTAATTATTTAAAAAAAAATATTCTAAAAAATTATTGGTTTTATTTATTATCTGTAAAAAATTTCAAATAAATTAAGTTAATACCATTTCTGTAAAACTGATGTTTGTGTTTTTGGCGAATTTTGATTGCTCCAGGACGATAAATCATTTCTAATTTGACCTTAATTTATAATAATTTTGTTGCGGTTTCAATTTACTTTTAAGTATGAATCATCATCATATTCATCCTCCTCCTCCTCATCATCATCACATCATCATCGTCATCATCATCATCCGTGGTTTCCATTAACTTTTATATATGAATTAATAAAATATAAAATAATCATCATCACCATATTATCGCCATCATCATCATCGTCGTCATCATCCAATAGTCATCATCACACCATCATCATCGTCATCATCATCACATCATCATCATCGTCATCATCGTCATCATCACATCATCATCATCGTCATCATCGTCATCATCACATCATCATCATCGTCATCATCACATCGTCATCGTCACACCATCATCGTCATCATCATCACATCATCATCATCACATCATCATCATCACATCATCATCATTACATCATTATCGTCATCATCCCATCACATCACATCACATCATCATCACATCATCATCACATCATCATCACATCATCATCATCATCGTGGAAATGCACGCAACGAGGTCGGATTATAATTATTATACGATGCCTCGGCACGCTATCTTGTCGTTGTTATTGTTGTTATTATTATTATTGTTATAGTTGTTAGTGGTGGTGATGTTATTGTTGTTGTTGTTTGTGGTGATCATGATTAGGTTGTTATTATTGCAAATATTATTGTTAGTGGTGGTGGTGGTGATGATGATGATGATGATGATGATGTGATGAGGATTATGATAGGATGAGGATTATGATGATGGTGATTGTGATGATGGTGTTGTTGTTGATGACAATTTTGTTGTTGATAATTGTGATTAAGTTGATGTTGTTGTTGTTAATGATGATGCTATTATTGGTATTATTTTTTTATTATTATTATTGTTGTTGTTGGTGATGGTGACGATTATGATGATGACGTTTTTTCGTTGATGTTGATGATGATGGTGTTGTTGGTGATAGTATTGTTTTTAGTGATGATGATGATGGCAGTGATGATGATGATGATGACGACAGTGACGATGATGATATTAATAGGAAGGCTATGTTAATTAAGATGGTTTTGATTGTCATCTTCTTAAAAGATCACAGCCATCAATAAAAAAATTGCATGAGTTGGAATTGAACTATAACCCAAGAGTTGGAATTGAACTATAACGTAGTGAGAACATTGAAAGTATTTGCAAACTATATTCAATCCATAAAAAGTTGAACATTGAGAAAAAATCAGTATGAGGGGATGACATTTTTACTATTTCCACCATGAACGATGTCATTGAGTTAACGATCATTTCAGGTTAAGAAAACCGACCAAATAAATGTTAGTAAAATTAAACATTCAAAAAAAACACAATCAGGATGGCGAAACTGCTTCCAAAATTTTAGTACAGGTTTCGAACATTCACGTAAAAAAGTGGCGTCAAAACTCAAAAGTGACATTCGCTGAGAGAGAGAGAGAGAGCGAGAGAGAGAGAGAGGGAGAATGGAAGAATAAGTGTTTTCAATTTTGTTGATGGAAAGAAAGAGAGAGAAAAAAGAAAGGGAGAAAGAGAGAAAGAAAGAAAGAGTGGAAGAAGGAGTGGAAGAAGGAGTGTTTTCATTTTTGTTGATGGAGAGAGAAAGAGAGAGAGAGAGAGAGAGAGAGAGAGAGAGAGAGAGAGAGAGTGAAAGAAGAAGTGTTTTCATTTTTGTTGATGAAAAGAAAGTAAAAGAAGGAATGTTTCCATTTTTGCTGGTGGAGAGAGAGAATCGAAAAAAGTGTTATCATTTTTGTTGATGGAGAGAGAGAGTGGAAGAAGGAGTGTTTTTATTTTTGTTGATGGAATGAACGTTTCAAAGATTGCTTCACTTTGAAATGACAGTTCTTAAACATTGTAGCTATATAAAAAAATCTATAAATAACATCATCATCGTTCTCCTCCTCCTCCTCCTCCTCCTCCTCCTCATCATCATCATCATTGTCGTCGTTCTCCTCCTCCTCCTTATCATCATTATCATCATCATCATTATCATCACCATCATCATCACCACCTTCATCATCACCACAACCATCATCACCAACATCATCATTATTATAACAACGTAAAAACAATCAACTCAACATCATCTTTCTATCATGCTAATCATTGTTCTCCCCATCACTCTCATGTTTGTCATCATTTTCATCATCGTCTTCATCATCATCATCATCACCATCATAATAAAAATCATTATCATCACAATCATCATCATCACCATCAGCACAATCATCATCATCACCATCAGCACAATCATCATCATCACCATCACAATCGTCGTCATCATCATCAGCAAGGATGAAGGACAACATGAAGGGTCTCGTGTATGCATCAGCGTTCAGTTAATAAATT